GATCAGGATCAGGGACTGCAAAGCAAGGGCACAACACAAGGTCTTCACTCTTTTCTGTTACCATGTTTGTCTGTCAGTGAAGAAGAGATCATCTTGTGGTAGCAAATGGTAAAGAAATGATATTTTGTCCAGGGGCCTGATTTATTTACATTATTACAAATGTCAGATAACATGAAAGAGAGCTGCATAATTGCTATCTGTAAGTGTTACAAACTGCTCCCAAACGCAGCACACTCACTCTCTCTCACGCAAGACGCATTTTTGCAGGATCAGATCCTTATTCAGTTATTCCAATGCTTTTTCACAAAAAAATGATTTCTAATTTAGGGAGGAAAAGTTTTATTTAATTATCTTTTTCTTTTTGGCTTGAATTGACCAACGGCATATCTTCCACTGGCTTTATCAAAGAAGCCACCAGTACCAGAGCACATCTAATTTTAAGTGGGCTTTAGTTGGCAGACTTAAAATTGATCATGCATTTTAGTTTCAGTAACTTGCAATTTCTGCACCCTTTGATAGTGCACTTTAAAGAACAAGTCTTCTTTAATGACAAAGGCTTAAAAGAAATGACCTAACTGAACAAAATATCAAAGCTTAGAAAAGATAGTTCCTTGGAAAAAAAGTCTGAATTAAAATGACCTTGTGTTCTGAAACTTTTTCATACAATATCTGACGTCTTACTTTTCCTTTGTACCCTCAGAACGAGACCAAGTATAATTTAGTAGTGTGTGGTGCCTCCAGTACATTTTGTGATTTGGGAAGGCCTTGCAGTGCATTAAGATAATTTAAAAAAAAAAATAATCAGATCCCATATACACTCTCTATCAAGACTGCTCGTCATTAGAATCAAAGTTGTGCATGTTTCTCAGAAAATTCAATAAATCACTGTAAGATATTCCAGTGATTGCAAATATTTTCTTCTAGTCACAATAAAATCTTCTTCTGTGCAGCAAAATAATTTCTCAGTTTGAAACCACAGTCAGCAGAGATCTGGGCAAGTAGCAGGAGTATCTGCTGTCACCAGTACAATTAAAGCACTGTTGCAGAAGGAAGCAGAGGGCTGGGAGAAGGAGGGAGGTTGTATCCCTTTTCTTCCATCTGCACCAGAAATGAGCATATTTGTTAGGTGTAACACAAGAACTGTGAGTGGCACTAAAATAAAGTGTCACCTTGATAAAGGTCACCTCCCTTGATACTGGTGAAAAATGTTATGATGCCTTTTTCTTGCAGGGTTTTATATAGAGTGAAACAATCTTCTCTCACAGAGCAAAATCAGTAAAATAAATAAATAAAAACTACAAAGAAACCTGTAACTGTACTCAAGCCGGTTTCACTAGAGCTTGTTTTATGGACAATGAAGCCAACTACTGGCAGCTGGCAATTCCTTACCTAGTGGGTGATAAGAGGTAGAGACCACGTAACACATATGAAAACATTTCTAATCCTGCAGTTTGGGCTCTAACTCTTGTTACAAAAATGATCAAAGAAATGTTAACAACGACTACAAGAGAACTCCAACCAACCTTGAATTTAATTCCTTTTATAAGGTTTATAAGTACCTTCAAAATGGTCCTCACGCTGTATTTGATGTTGAAGAGAGTTTCCCAGAGTTTTAAAACTCCCTGATTGACCAAGATCCACTTTTCTTAAACTGCTTTTTGATCACCAATGACATCAGCAACCCAATTCCATCAAAAATAAGGAAATTCAGGCCTGAATTCAACTAGCTAGAAGGAGGTCCATGTGCTTCTTTATGGATGTAACACCCTTACTGCTTTTGAAAGCACTATAACCACCCAGATATCATGCAAAAATGCAAGCAGAACCAAAAATGCCTCATTTCCTTCATGCAGGAGAAGAGAGCTTTCACTGTCCCAATGCCTGCCGTTTGGACACAGGGCAGTATCCAGCCAGTAAATCCCAGCGCGTGCGGCCTGCACCTCTGTGAGCTTTTGGTGCTTCTCCCGAAGAGCCCAACCAACGCTGCCGTGCACCTCTCTGAGTAAATACATTTCATTTTACTGCCCACAATTAACTAAATGCATCCTAACAAATTCCTTCTACTAAAACTCACCATTGCCCCAGGCAAGGCTTTGTGGCACCTGCCATAGCACCTCCTCGCTTATCAGAGCCATGACAACCCCTTATCTATAATTAGAAGAATCACTTGTTGATTCAAGGAAGTTGGAAAACCTGCCCAGGCCTAGACTAGACTGACAATCGGCAAAGCACCCAGCAAAGCTGGAGCCTGTATTTGGCAGGGAGCTCCCTCCTGGCACTGCCAGGAGGTGGGGGTGGATAAAGCCCAGCCTGCCAAAGCCTCTCCTCATTGATCTCCATGCCAGGCAGAGATAAGAGCCCAGCTGGCAAGCTGGGACTCGGGACAGCCGCGTCCAGCAGCAGGCACTCAAGCGGTCAGGACCCTCCGAATTGTGCCCGGACCGCGGCATGTTGAGCGCAGGTGCCACCGGGGTGAGGGAGGAGAGGTGGCCATCCCTGTCAGCAGCGATACGGAGGGTCTTGCTGCTGCTGACAGTGCCACAGCTGGACTTAGAAGAGAGGAATTTCTGGCCCCCTCTCAAGCACTCGGACCACTAACTGTGCCTTGATACCAACACTGCCGGCAGGATGGTGCCTAGGAAAAAAAAAAAGCTATTCTTGTATTTGGCATATCTAAATTTACAGATTACAAATGTACTAATGTGCACTCTGGCTCATGGATGGCCAAGAGATAAGGAAGCCTTCCCATGCCTGGGAGGCAGAGCCAGCTACGAGGACGACTCCCTGTCTGGGTCCTTCAGCTCTCCACCGCTGCTTCAACCTCAGCCCTGCAAACCCTCGGGAACCAGCTTAGATTTACCAGGATCACCCAAGGGAGCCTGCTCGCGCCTATGCAGAATCAAGGCCATATCGGTTACAACTCTTTTCCAATAACGTACCATAACTATGTTATCAGTAAATACCGAAGGACTTTCCTGTGACCAGTGTATGCAACCCCAATGATAGATATAACTGGAAAGGGTGGCTGCATTTGTCATCATTGGTGTTTTTATGCTCGCTCCAAGATTTTTCCTTGAAACACAGCATGAAAATATTTTCCCAGTTAACAAAGCCATACAAAACTCTGATGCACTGTGGCTACTTAGGTGAGTGAGATGCCCAAGTAGGACAATAATGTCAAAACAAAATAGTACAAAAGAATATTTTAATATTATGTAAACACATGGACACAAAACAATGTCAAAATATGTTAAAATATCTTGGGCAATAATAATAGAAAATGGGATTTTCTTCATGTATAAAAATGAAAAGAATGGTACTGGGAAGTAATAACAAAAATATTAGTAGAGGAAACTCTGCTCACTTGGCGAGCAAGCTCAGCACAGAGTCAAACACACAATATATCAAAAGCATAATTCTGTAATAAGACAATGATTAAAAAAATAATGGAAGGAAGATACAACTAAAAACATGCTGGCACGAGCAATGAATGTTTTTTCATGAACTTCATTATATTTGACATGCTAACAAAACAGCCAATGATGTTTGCCTTTTAATTTACAAGAGCCAAATCTTCAAACCTATTCAAAGCAGTCCATTTGGCGATCAAAGGTCCAATAGCTCCAGCAGTTACCTGAAAATGAAGAGATTCTTATTAGTTATATCTTTTTATTTTTTACTATAAAAACACAACAGGCTGAAACCAGGGTTGGGTCCGGGCGGCAGCGTGCCTGGATACGGCCGTGACCGCTGCTGTGTTGGGTGTTCAGGAGCACACAGGGGAGTGTGCCATGGGCACCCGTGTGTGTCAAAGCAGCAAAAAGCAGTATTTCAGTGAGTGAGGGTCAGGTAAATGGTAACACAAAATTTAGTGTGAATGTAGTCTTGGAAAAAAGATCTGGTCAGGAAGATAATTTTCCTGAACAGAAGCAGCACAAAAGCTTCTCCAAGTCTACAAGCAAATGCCACGACAGCCTCACTGGGAGAGGAGCTGCTATGTGCCGTGTTGGCTCTGTCCCTGCCCTTCCTCTCCATCAGGACATGGCTGGGCTTTCTTCCACCTCCAGTGTTTCTGTCATTTGTGGCCTGGCCTGATCCATTGGTACGTGATTATTCATCTTTTTAAACAGTTATTCTCCTAACTGTGAAGACACTAATTCAGAATAAGCTTGAGACAAAATGCATCCCTTGGTAATGCTACTGCTGCTGTTGGAGAGAGTCTAGAGACTACTTTACAGCTTTATATTCATCTAACAGTGTTATCTACGCTGGACATATTACCAAGAATCTATGACATTTTCACTTTCCAATTTGCTTTAGCTCATTCATGTTAACAAATAGTTTAGGATTAATATTTTCAGACAACTGTCACACTGCTAACATTTTTACAAATGTTTAAATATCTTACAAATTTTTACACTGTTTTTACAAGCACACATTCTTAGTTGCAGAAACCCTCATGTGAGATATGAAAGTCTCATCAAAGTCTACAAATATAAAAAAGATGGAGTGGCTTTCCTAGGAAGTTTCCTTTTACTCACCTCTCCATGTGAATCACTTACTCTAAAGGCACAGCAAGGCTTTTTATTGCTGCAGCACTTGCCATAATTTATATTGGAGGGTGTAAACGTCTGAAAAAAAGCTCAGGCTCTTGAAGATCCGGTACTTTGAAGATGTGATCTCTAATATTACGCATTGCATCATTGTTTTCTATCTTAAAAGGAGGTGGCATCACCGCAGAGCTGCAGCTGTGCACTGAGCCACTGTCTCATCATGAACATCGAGGCAAAGCCCAGACTTGTAATGCACCTGCAAGTTCTCTAATCTTGCTCTAATAGTACTGACTAAGCACTGGGAAAATTCTCAGACGCTTGTTTACTGAAAATAAGGATCTTTTAAAGCTGCAACCATATTTGAGTGTTTTAATTAAGCCGTAAAACTTCAATAACTGGGATCCACAGGTGTGAAATGGTACAAATTGATCAAAGATAACCACGTACCTTCCGGCATGGTAGGTGTCCAGCTCTTCCTGGAGGACAGAGACTGTTTTCTGCAGAATATCTACCTGTAAAATACATCCCACATGAAAATGGTGTACAAAATTCTAATTAATAAATTTGCGCTCATTTCATAAAAGGTATTTTTCTGGTCTATCCTGCCTAAATAAAGTGCACTAACACTTCAGCTGCATACTAGAATTAATACTTGATAGCAGATTGTTAGCGTGGCTTCCCTGGCCCCGCTCCAGCTGCACACTACCTACTCCTTTAGGAACAGAGTCAAAACAGTTTTTAAACTCAGCTGATAGAACCATATGGGTTATGCAAGGGTTTGGGAGCTCCAGTTCTACTCTCAACTCCCATAGGATGCCTGTGCTCTGATCCCCGCACTTTTGGTCTTCTGATGAACGTACACACCTGTTCTTAAAGTGTACGAAAATTAATGTTTGTTAATACACTGTGGCCACTTTTGGTCGACTCACCAAGAGCTGACAAGTGGGCAGTGCACTTTATATTTAGCAACGTTTGTAGAAAACTTTGCCCAAGCTTCAAGTATTTTCTTTGGTTTTGTTTGTTTATTTTTATCATTGCTCAGTGCCTTTACCCAGTCTATCCTCTTCATCCTCCTCCAACAATAAATAATCCTGACAGGTGCAGAGGTTCCACTGCCCTTCTTGTCTGATGTTTTCAAACAGGAATTTCAACAATTTTCAAAGACCAGGACACCTGTGCTTCAGAAACAGCCCTGCTTACTGAGTGGTCTGAGACAACAGCCTACTACTGGAAATACAGCCAGCAGCTATGGATTTCTGGGATAGCACCCAGGTTTTCACGTGTGGAGTTACTTTTACTCTTTTGAAATGCTGCTCCTGCTTACAGAGGCCCTGCAGGTGGATATCAGATTCTACTTTTTAACTCATTAAAAGGTGTGATATTCTTGTATTAGCTCCAGAGTAATGCTTCCTACCAGACAGTGCTAACAATGAACCACACTTTAATAACAGCTTTTCCCTATCAATGGGAAATAGATTTCCCCAGTAGATCCTTAACTCTTCATTTCCCACAACTATTTAAATGAGAAAGAACATCATTTCCATTAGGTATCCCTTGATATGCAAGCAGAGTGTTTACAACCATAGTGTTGAAGTTGTGTCACTACTAGCACATAGGAATATGAAAGTTTCCCCTATGAAAATTCCCTACTTTAATAAAAGGCACACTTTGCCAGGGGAAGTGTCTCATGCATAGCAAAAAATGCTACAGAATAACCCTTATGCATTGTAATGACAAAAAATAAAGGGGAAAAAACCCCAAATACATTAAATTACCAACCATCTCCACAGAGAGACATTGTGTAAAAAAGAGAAATGGAGAGTTTGTAGCTCTATAATTTCTTGAAAAACGGTCCTGAAAATTGGTATAAAGCATATGCTGGTATCAAGCCTAAACTCATATGCCAGGTCCTTAGGGCTTTTGCTCTTCCCAGAGCTCACAGGCAGCTCTGAGTCCCCAGGATTGCCTTGTCTTTCTCTCATTTCTTCCCTTCAGGCCAGGACAGATCACAGTCCTTCCCAACGGGTTTAAATGCACAGTCCTGCAGTAGGTCTATGCGAACACTGACAGTGTTTTCTTTGGATTACTGTTATTCCACATCTATGATCATCTATTATTGCTATTTATCCTTCCTCATGTGAGTTCAGGCCATGACGGCATTTTGTTTTCTTCCAGCTCCTAATATACTGAATAGGAAAGCATCAGATAACTTCTGCGGGAACCATGTACAAGAAACACACCCAGTTCATTAGTAGTTCCCTATTTACAATGACATTTTGATATTTCTATTAGCCCATTTAATAGCCTATTTCATAGAAATAATGTTGATTCTTCATTATTCTAAATGAGCTAGTGTTCTGCAATATTAAAGACAAAGCATTACAGAAGTCTGTTAGAGTCTCTTTATATAGGAAAATGTAGAAATAACACAATGATCATTTGGACTAATATCTTAAAAGAAATATCCCATTTGCTTCATTATAGAGACTGGAAAGAAAACAAAATTATTTCTAATTCTCCTCTGCACCCTTTACATGCAACCTTTAAATGATTCCTTCAGGAGAAACAGGGTAAGGAAGATGACAGAGAACTGTGTGCTATATTTAAAAGGCTGAGAAAAAAACCCTAATACTGGATATAGCATAATTTCTACTTTCAACTGCCAACTGACGCAAAATCTGTGATCAAAAGATACAGCATAGTAGCTCGCAAGGTGAGGAAACCGGAGGAGAAGAGCCTCGAGAAAGATGACTGAGTGAGAAGCATGTGAGTGCTGCCATAATTTGGTTTTGAGACTTATTCAGTATTTTTTGCCAAATTTTAGATAGTCACAATATCTTGTCTAGAAGAGATGGTTTTTATCCAATCCAAAAAAGTTGAAAATGAATAATAAGAATTTACCTGAGTTTTTAAAGATATAATGGTGTCTTCAAGTTCCTGTCTCAAAGATGCTGGCATCAGACCTTTGAGTGTGTTTTCATATTCTTGTTGTATAGAGGTCATCTGAAACAGAAGAAAAAGAAATTTATATATAGATGGCCACTCTTGGAAGCGAGAGAGTAACTTTTTCTGCTTCTTTTTCCCAAATTGGAGTCCAAGTAAATGCAGAATTGTGATATCAAGGGAAAGGGACGGAGAGAGAAGAAAGATAAACAAAGACCTGTCAAGAGCAAAAGAGGTAAAAAAGAGGAAGAAAGGAAAAAGAAAACACAAGAATATAGGGAGAGGAGGAAAAAAATAATGAAAAGAAAACAGTAAGGCTTGGGACATGTAAGGCTGGGACATGGCCTGAAGAAGCAATAATCATTCCTAAATCTATGTCAATAGAGCATTTATACAGATATTCACTTTGCAAATTGATAGCCAGAAGTTTTCTTTTTGTCTTTGGTGAGATCTGAATCAGGTCAGTAGAACGGTATTTGCCCCTTCCTCCCTTAGACAAGGTGAAGTACTGTTGCCCAAGATTTTTTTACAAAATTTCTCAACTTCCAGGTGCTTTTAAGGACTTTTTTTTATCCAGCATGCAACTATTTTTCATTGCACTTTGTGTCTTTCTCGACTTCATTGAGGGTATGGGACTTGCAGCAAATAGGTTTGAGCAACTTAGACATGTTACAAGATCAGATGTTCACACCAAAACGATTACCTCTAAAGGAGAACATTCTAATCCATAACCTTATTCAACAGATGCTGAGTAAACAGTACCGTTACTAAGCAGTGTTACACGAAGACAGATCAGCTGGGAGGACTGTGCTTTGTATCTCTCCAGTGTGGTTGTCTTTGCCAAATCTTGACCCAGGAAAAGTACAGAGTCTGGTACAGCTCTGTCCATCAAGCCGCACAGGACTGCTCGCACACTTTATTACTTGGCTGAATCAGGGCCTCCTATCTGTACTTAACTTCCAATAGGATTAACCGCTTAATTCAAATTAAGCAAGTACTTAGGTGTTTTTCTGGATTAGCAGCTGAATATGTAAATAAAGGATAAAAGGGATTCAATATCAGATTAACTTATAAAACATCTTTAAACTTTCAAATTGAATCTTTTCTCCAATGATTTACACACCAATGCCATTTTCTGCTAATTTTGTTTTAGTTACCAAATTGCTTAACTCTACCATTGCAACCACAAATCAAAACCTCCGTCTTGCATCTGAAGAAGCCAGGAGTTACAACTTCTAGCTCCCAGCTTGCAAGGAGCGCACACGCTTATACACGTGAGAACTGAACACAAAGTTCACTGCAAGATGTGCCAACTACCATCCTATGGTAAAAGCAGGTCATGCCAAAATATGCATTATGCATAATACAACTATCAATACAAAAGGAATAAAACAATCTGATGAAACTTTAGGAAAATTCTGTCTATGAGTCATTCCGACATGCAGAAGAAATCTCCAAATCTCTATGCAAATAAGCAATTAGAGGCTTTCCTTGTGAACTGCAAGTGATGCCACTATGCAAATGTAAAGGAAAAAAAAAATGGTGAGACAGGAAACCTTGTTTGAACTCTGCCTATGTAGAAGCCAGTGATCAAAATTTATGGTTTTGAAAGTTACTCTGATAAATTTATGCCACTATTTCTGTAAAGGCTTACAAAGTTATGCATAGGTGCTTTGCCAGGATAAATATTTTCTGAGCCAACAGCTCATTTGGGTGGGGACCTTGATAGAGCAGAAACATACATTTCAGTTAATTCAATGTGTTACATTTGTTCTTGGTGAGATGGGAGCAGCAGCAGGCAGCTAGAACAGCAAAATCCTTTCATTTCCTAAATTTTGAATAATAAAGATCTATTTCATAAGTAAGAGGATCTGGATGATCACCTTGCCAATATGTTGGGGTGACCCAACCAGCACAGAAACTCCGTCGCAGGGGCCTGACTCACACTCGAGCTCTGCATTTACAGGCGATGCAGATGTCGGGAGCTGAGCCTGGACTCCGATATAACTCACTACACCACGACCTAGCCGTGCCTGCAGGGCATCTAGGACTCACACCAGCTTCCTCAGGTGCCAGGCACCCAGCAAGAGCCACTTATTACAATTTTTCCCAGAGGAAAGACAAGAAAGTTTCATTCTAAGTAGATGCCACCAAAATTTTAATACACCTCTGTGAGTGAAATAATAATGTCCTAATTGTGCAACAGTCTTCTTTCAACCAGGTCACTGGTTTTAATAGTTTAATCTGCAAGTGTCCTCTAAATCATGCTTTCACAACGCTGTTAATGTTTGCTATTAACTCTGCAAAGCAGCAAGGGGATTGTTCCCTTTGACAAAGGTGGTTCTTGGAAAGTCAGGAAGAAATACGTACAGTGCTTTGGATATATATTACCGGGTCAGCTGAAAATGGAGAAAGAAAATGAGAAAGAAGCCCTGGTAGTTGAAATATTGCTTGGGGCTGATTTCTTACTCTGTTTCAGAGAGAAGGCACACACTTTTTTTGCAGTGAAAACTATTCTTTGGGCTACAACTGCCATTTGTTTGTTTGCTAAGACAAAAGATGTTACTTTCAGTTGTGCTCACTAATAATTGCATCACAATACGATGAAAATAGGATCCCAGCTGTTTCCTGTCATATTATGATAAACAACATGCTGATATTTTTGGCTGAAGTTACTATCAAGGTTTATTGAACCAAGAGATTAAAACAGTGCAAGGTAAAAATCTAAATTACTTCTTATAACTGAAAAATAATATATAGTGGGCTAATGTATACTAATTTTAATGGAGGAAGGTTTTTATTTTTTAACGCTTGTTTTTGACCAATGAAAGCTATGTCTGCAGGGATATATTTTTTTTTTGTGTGCCTTAAAGGCTTTTTTGTTCTTTTATAGCCTCAAGCTGCCTCCCTAGGATCCACAAATACCGTGTCTCCTCTTGCACTCTTGAGAGATGTTTAAAATTGCAATTCTTCAGCCCTCAGGAGGGCTTTAGTCTGCTGGCTGAGGATAGCTCTATTTCATTTACTGTTGTGTTCGTTTTTCTTCAGTCCTGAGAAAGCTTTTTTTTGAAAATTCATTTTGGTGAGTTGATTTAATCCATGAACCCCCAGGAAGGTTTTATAGCTTTTAATATTAAGCTGCCACACTGGTCTTTGTTTATTCAGGTTGGTGGCTAACATAGGAGGTTTAAAGTTTTACCATCAATCATCTTTGGTGTCAGCAGAAACAACTGAAAGCCAAAGTTGCCACACATAGCTTATGTATGCTGAGTCACACGATAAATTAGAAAAAAAGAAGAGACAAATATTCGCACAATTATTCAAAGTGATGCAGAAAGCAGGGAAGTTATAATTTCACAAACTACAATGAGATCTTGTCATAGTTGGGCATTGACTATTCTCAAAAGAGATCAAAGTTGGTTTTGATGCCCAGAAGAGAAATATCCAAAACTGAGCTTTCCAAACCAAGTGATCAGGCCTGGCTCAACACTTTTCATTAGTGTAAGACGAGTTTCAATTTTACTACTTCAAGGAGTCTTCAGGTGGCAGAATTCAGTTTTGCAGCTACTCACTATTTCTAAAAGCTTCAGAGGGATGTTTGTGGGGCTGGGTTAGAAGCAGATGGGAGCACAGGACCGATCAGGAACAAGTCCCATTGGCACCTAGTTGCACTGTAGTCACTCTCCTTCCTTTCTGAAAGAAACAACTTAAGCACATCCAGGAGAAATAGTATCTTCAAGATGACCAGATACATTTTAGTCCATGCGCTAAGAACAGCCTGCACAGCAGAGGATATTCTGCTTCTCTTCTATGCTCTGCTATACAGTCACAACCACGCCATATCTTATTCGGGTTCCCAATAGCCAGCTCTCCCTTTCTTACTTCCAAGAGGTCTGTGATGTTGAGTTTATTTTCCAGAACACAGTGGCCCTGGTGCAAAATCTCCATTTCACTAAAAAAAAAAAAAAAAACAAAACCCGAACAAACAAATGCAATCTTCTCCAGATCTCCCAACTGTAAATTACTTTATTTGAACCAGAGGAGCATAAGGAAAATGCAAAAGAAACTCTGGAGTATATACTGCCAAAGCAAATGAAGGGACCACAGAAGAGTTGTTCGAGTTCCTTTAAAAAAAAGAAATCTTGTCTTGAAGGGCATGAAGCTAACATTTTGTTTATGTCAGACAAGAATCAAAAGGCAGTTCACTTACCTAAGGTGGTGTGTTTTTTTCAGTATCTTAATTTCTGCCTGTTTATAATATTTATGAAAGACAGTAATTCCATGTGTGCCAGGGAATACCAGATAGTGACAAAAAGGCATAATTAGAATAATTTAATTATTATCAAATTTTCTCCACGTTTCAGGGGGAGTAAGACGAGAAAAGTAATTTCCTCTCTCAAATACTTTCCTGCATTGTTTAAACAATGGTACGTTATAATGCTGTTTAAAAGAGAAATCTCTTTAAAAAGGTCATGCATCTGTACTGCAATACACATCTCTGAAAGAAGACGTGAAAGATCTGCTGTAATAGATCTGAAGACAGGTTAGGGTATCAAAAAGGTAAAAATAACTCCTTCAGCCTTAGGCAAATTATTTAATCTCAGATTAAGCCTTATCCTCCTAAATGAGGCCAATAATAATAATAGGAGTAATAATCATAATAGTAATAATATTGCATAGGTCAACTTCATTCAGGTGGTGTGAAGTTTGCTGAAGTAATTTTCTGAAAGCACTTGGAAAAAGGCAAGCGAAGGACAAATTACTACAATGCCATCCCAATTAAAAAAAAAATCAACAAAAACCCAAACAACAACCCAAAGAATGTCAAAGTAATAATTAATCACTGTTTGTTTGTATTCTCCCTAATTGCAATGACTCCTCCTTTGCTTCTCAGCACTCCTAAACTCTAAGTGAGCATAGATCTACTCCCACAAAACTGCTAAGAGTCTGTATGGGCCCCTTCCTCCATCGCCCGGCCTGGGGGACGCTGGACAATGTCTATAACCGAGGAACCAAATCTACCAAAATCCTCAATTTCCTTAAACTTCAGATCTCTCAGG